TCATCACACTGGAGGTGGGATTGGTGTTGGAACACTGGAGGCCCCAAACAACTGTATTATGAACAAACGTTGTAAACAATCGTGTTTAAATATAGTTTAAAAAAAAAAAGCCAAAGACATACTTTTTTTTTCCTTGTTTCCTAAACACAAATCAACTCTTCTTTGACTACGTGGTAGATTTGTGAAAACAAATGCAGCCTCACATAAAGTCTGGTTTTGATTCTATACCTGGGAAGTAGGTAAAGTGAAGTAAAGTAAAGGCCCTCCCGTTGATCATCGATTTGCTCGAGCGGGCCCAGTAACGTCTCCATTGAAGACTTTGCTGTTACTGTGTCTGGCATATCGAGTACGTCACGGGTGGCTTGCCAGGCTCTGCCGTGCGGGCGAGATACTCTCGGTAGCTTGCCGGGAAGTATGTCGAGTGTTTCAATTACTGAACACTTGGTTTTGTGATTCAGCTGGGTTGTGAGCACTGTTGTGTTTGGGATAAAAATTCTACACTCTGTGTGTTGAAGCTCTCCGCTGAGTGTGTCCGTTACTGCTGTTGTTTCTAGACCCACCCACCCCCGCCCCTCCACCCCCCACACATCTCAGACAGATGCCGTGGGAGTGAGCCCAGGGATGAGGAGGACAACTGTGCTCCTCCCAGCGGACCGAGGGGGACCTGGCTTTCCTTCACGAGGGAAGGAGAGAGCCTGGGATACCAAGGTGGTTTGAATTCTCAGTGTCGGACCCCCAGCCCCGCCCCCCGCCCCGCCAGCCTCTGTTCCCCAGCGCCGCAGCAGCGAGAGCACTGTCCACAGTGAGTCCGAGGCATATCCGTGATGCCAGGGGGCGTCTCCCACACAACCTCTGGATCAGGAGGGGTTCCCGGGCTGGTGCTGTGCTGGCATGAGCAGCTGGCATTGGGAAAGATGCCTGAAGGAGCTGGGGCAGCAGAGGGGAGGGAGGGGGGCCGAGCAGAGACGAGGGGTGCCCACCACCACCTGGAGAAGACCATGAGCCCCTGTGGGCCTGGGGCTGGGCTGTGGAATCCCGGGTTGGAGCTGAGGTTCCCAGCTCAGGCAGACAGAAGGAGGCAGCTGAGCGGAAACAGCCTCCCCAGGGAGTGAGCTGTGCAGGGCGCAGCCTCCACTGGACCCTGTCCTAGGCTGGCATTTCCTCTGGACTCCATCCTGGGCCAGTGGCACGGCCGCCAGGACTTCTCAGCTTCAAGGAGAGGGTCCATCTGAGCTGTGCAGCTTCACTTGCAACGCCGGCACAGAGGAACCCGGCTCTCCCCAAAGTTCTCGGGCCTCTGGGAAGCTTCTCCTGCTCCCCAAGGCAATGGTGAAGGAGCTGGGCGGTGGGGACGAGTCTGACCTGGGCCAGCTCTGGGCTCGGGCCGGGAGCAAGACAGGGTACGGTGGCCTCTGGCCACGGAGGACTGGGCAGCTATTCCCATGGCCATCAGCCGGGTTGGGGTAGAAGGGAGAGCAAAGGGAAGGCTTTGGTGCTGAGTTTGGCTTTCTGGGCGAATATTGCAGCCACTTCTTTTACATCTGTTGCCGTTTTTAAAGCCATCGGTCTAATATTTCATTGACATCTATTCCATTTTATTGAAATCTTGCCTTTTCCAGAACTTATACGGTGAATTTTACATTCTGTGCAAAGCCATTTATGCCATGGCCTGGTTCCAAGGTCTTGGTAACCAGTGGCTGGCTCCACCCTGGCCCAACTCTCTGGGGTCAGTTCTGGTTTGAGTTTGTTTTATTGGGGGTGGGCAGGCAGTGCTCAGGGAGTGTTCCTGGCATGGTACTGTGAGGTCACTCCTGGCCATAGTACTGGACAAAGAAAGATTCTGGGGTTCACATACACGGAGCATGTGCTCCAACCCTTTGAAGCAACTCCCAGACCCCAAATTCTATTTTCTTCCCTAGTTTCTTGGCAAGGGTCAAGAGCAAACACAACAGGAGAAGGGAGGTGAGTGTTCCCTGGAAAGGGGGTGAGTGCTTCCTGGGAAGGGGTGAATGCTCCCTGAGAAGGGGGTGAGCGCTCCCTGGGAAGGGGGTGAGTGCTTTCTGGGAAGGGGGTAAGTGCTTTCTGGGAAGGGAGGTAAGTGCTCCCTATGAAGGGAGGTGAGTGCTCCCTGGGAAGGGGGTGAGTGCTCCCTGGGAAGGGGTGAATGCTCCCTGAGAAGGGGGTGAGTGCTCCTTGGGAAGGGGGCGAGTGCTTTCTGGGAAGGGAGGTAAGTGCTCCCTATGAAGGGAGGTGAGTGCTCCCTGGGAAGGGGGTAAGAGCATCTATCTTTGATCCCAGCTGGGGTTCATGGAGCTTTGCAAAGGGCACAGGTAAGAGTGTGAAGCCTGGTGCCAGGGGCACCAGCCAGGCTGTGAGGTGGGCTCTGCCTTGGTAGGGGCCCTGGTCCAGCAGACGGGCTGGCGGCATGAGCAGGCAGGGGACCAGACACCTGACCCTGTTGGCAGCTCTGGAATCTGCTCCTGATGTGACAGAACGGCACGCCGCTGCCCGCCCCTCACTGGGCCCTCGATGTCAGTCATGGCAGACGCCAGGCTGGCTGAGATCCCCGGTGGGGTCTGGGGTGACATATTTAGAACAACTCCAGGCACAAAACCGGGTCTCCCTCTTTCCTCCAAACAGCCAGAGCACCCCACTGCCCAGGGTAGCCCCCAGCTCCGGGCAGGGTCCCGGGCACCCCTCCCTGACCAGCCCTCTCCAGGGTGTCCCCAGGGAAGGGGCTCGAAGGACCAAGGCACTTTCTGGGATGCCTTGGTCCGGCTCTCTGCACCTACTGGGGATGACGGGAGTAGGGATCCTGCCGCTCTCCCCAACCCGGCACCTAGCCTCACCTCCAGAGCTGATAGGTGCCCGGTGAAGGCTCAGCCTCCAGCTGCCTCCCAGAGCAGAGTCTAGGCACGAGCCTGCAACTTCCCCCATGGCACGGAGTTGGCGTCACCTCTGGCAGCAACGCCGGGCAGGATGGCTGCCCCTGGGAAAGCTGTGACTGCAGGGGTGTGTCAGGAGACAGCAGGGTAGTGCCCACAGGGAGGGCGAGCTGACCGCATAGCCCAGGCCACTGGCTGTGGGCCACTCAGAAGGTTGGGGAGAGGCCAGGAGCTCAGCCTCGCACCCAGGGCCAGGCCCCTGGCACCAGCCTCCAGCTGAGGTGTCAGCTCGCCCCTAGCCAGCCGCCTGAGGAAATCCCTGGAAGTCTAAGCACCCGGCACCAGCACAGGGAGATCAGATGAGCGTGCTTGACTCTCACTGCCATCAGGGTGAGTCCCCACCCTCCCCATACCATACTCGCCAGCCTCCGTCCCTGTGCCCACCTGGCTGGGCTGCCTTTGCTTCCCAGGGGGCTCTCAGCAGACTGGAGGCCAGAGGCAACTCACACTGTGAGGGTCCCTCTCTCCTCAGAGGAAAGACGCTCCCGTGTCCATCTAAGAAACGCCGCAGACAGCCTCTCTCCACCGGGCACCTACTCTCATGCATCTGGGCCCATGCAGGGCCCAGGGGCATCCAGGCGACCCAGCCTGAGCCAGAGAAGCCTCCTCGCCCAGTCCGCACAGCAGTGAGAGAGAGTGAGAGTCCCCAGCTGTTAAGCGGCAGCACCCACACTCCGGGCAGGGGAGGACCACTCCTGCAGAACCTCAGTGGACAGGAAGCTCTGCCAACCTCCACCTGGGGGGCTCTGAGGAAACCCTGAGCTGCTCCAGGCAGAAACAGAAGCAGAAGGGCAGCAGCCCAGTGCTCCTCCACTCAGAGGCCCAGAGCGCACGTTCTGCAGCTGGGCTGCCCCCGAGAGACCATGGGACAGACCTACGGTTGTCTGATCTGTCCTCTGTACCCAGCCCTGGAGTGGGTGCCCACAGCCTCCGCCAGCCCCAGGGCGACAGCAGCGGGGTGGGGGGGGGGCACAGGGACCCTGGAGTGTGCAGCAGGGGCTTGGTCACTTGCTCTGGGCTACTCCCTCTTGTTCCTCCCCAGCCTCATGGTCTCTGCCAGAGCCTCTGTTTCCAAACCCACCTCTCCACTTCTGTGAAGAAGGAAGCCTCAGTTTCCCCTTGCCAGCTGCCGTGAGCAGCTCCATTTCCAATGTCCCCATCCTACATTTGGAACATTCCTGAAAATTCCTGGCTTCTCTCTGAGATGGGAATCCAACAATTTCCCAGGATCATAGATTCTGCCTCAGATCTTGGCCTATAGGAAACTAAGAGATACTAGAAACTAATCGATATCTGGGCAGATGCTCCAATGGGGACCCCAGAAGTCTCTAAACTCACCAGAGCCCCAGAGTGCTCTGGAAAATCCTCGCTTTCTCTAGAACATTCTTGTCACTTGATAGGTAACATTAAGACCCAGTTTTCTTACATTTCAAAAAAAATGAGTCATATTGAACTTAGTTCTAGAGTTACATTCTGCGAAGTTTATTCCTGCTTTTCAATAAACTTTCCTGTTTCCATCTCTGGGTCAGAGCGTCTTTATAACTCAATAATTCAATATTCTCATTCCTGAAAATATTGAAGGACCTGAAAACCGTAGACGGACACTGAGCCCCCGGGGACTGTGGATGAACAGGGAGATTCTCCGCCACAGTGGACAGGTTCAAAATCTCGCTATCACCGTGGACAGACTCAGAGACAGGCTCTCACTTGGATGGACACATAGACCCTGTCACCTCCTGCATCTCGCAGGTCCCGGGCCCAGACTGCCCAGCACCTGTTCTCGTGGGAAGGACAGGGCAGATGGGTCCAGTCTATCTCCGCGCGAGAGACCGCACCTGCGCCGCGCCCTGTGCGCCCGCCCTAGCAGCCTCTGTCCAGGGGACTCCGACTGAGGACTAGCCCAGGGAGAGCTGGGGGACCCCTTGGCGCAGCCTCTGCCCTCGCGTCGGCCCCTCCTCGCTCCCGCCCCGGCCAGCCCAGGCCTCCCCGCCTCCCTCCGCCCTGGCCGCGGGCGGACGGCGGCTCAGTGCGCCCGGGCCGGGTCCTGGCAGCCCCATGGAGCCGCGCGCGCTGCGCTCGGGGGCACGGGGATGGGGCTCGGGGCCCCGGAGGCTGCTGCTGCCGCTGCTGCTGCTGCTGGCGCAGGTGGGTCCCTCGAGCCGGGCCCGAAACCCCCGCAGCCCCGGCCGTCACAGTCCCGTCTCACCCGCGTCCCGCCGTGTCCCCTCAGGCACCTGCGTGCACTGCGCCCCGGAGCCCCGGCGCCGAGCGTTCTTCCCTGCCGGCCGGCTGGGTGGAAGAGGGAGGTAAGTCCGCTCGTGGGGGCCTGGGGGACCTGGGGGGCGTCGAAGAGCTCGGTCCCGGCCAGAGGACCCCACAGCGCCCCACCCGCCGCCTGCGAGTTGGTGACGCGCCGGAACGCTCCTATCCACCGGGGCGCGCCTGCGGGAGTGCGTCCCGGACCCTGGCCTCTGAGCAGCGCCTCCTGTGAAGCAGCGACGGCTTCTGCCTACTGCGCGTCTCCTTCCACACACTGAAGACCCCAGACTGGGCATCGCCTGGCCTCGGGACCGCGCCGTCCTGTCCCTCCCGCGGGGGCGCACCCCGCTCCCTTGGCGTTCAGACCCGGGTGAGGGGCGGTGAGATGCCCAGGGCTGCGCCAGGAGCCCGGCTGGGTGCCCGCATCCTGTGATTTCACACGCCCCGCAGCTATCCGCTCTCCGGGGTCGGTTGCCCATGCTTGGCACTGGGGACCCTCCCATCCCTGGGGATAAGCCCTTGAGAAGCCGGTGAGGGACACAGGCTGCCCCCGTCTCTGGCGGAGGCAGTGAGTGGAGCCCACGGAGCCCCGCGCAGAGCTCATTTCTAGCGTACGGTGCCATCCTAAGCGAGGATAACGCGCCTCAGAGGAAGAATTCGGTTTTGTTGTTGGGTCTATGTTGGCTGCGCTGAGACTCACACCCAGGCTTCACCCCCGAGCCACATCCCTGGCCAATTCCAGCACCGCTGAAGAAAAATAGAGATAAGACGTTATAACTCACATATACACTTCATCTTGATAAAATGACATTGAAACAAGAATTTAAGACGCGTCCTAAAATAGTAAGCCTCCCCCATTGGCAAATTAAATCAAGAAAGTGGCCGTCTGAGCTCTGACCAGCCACCAGAGGGAGCCAGACGTAAACCTTCCAAAAGGAAGGACAGCACTGTTGGAGAGAGTAGCTAGAGGTCACTCACTATTCTTCCTCCATGTGTTTTGCAATCTGATCACCCATGTTAGATGTGAAAGCCCCATTCAATTTTCCAAGAAGGTAAAGGTAAAGGTAAAGGCCCTCCCGTTGATCGTCGATTTGCTCGAGCGGGCCCAGTAACGTCTCCATTGGAGACTTTGTTGTTACTGTGTCTGGCATATCGAATACTCTCGGTAGCTTGCCGGGCTCTCCGAGAGGGGCGGAGGAATCGAACTCGGGTTGGCCATGTTGGCCGCTTGTAAGGCGAACGCCCTACCCGCTGTGCTATCGCTCCAGCCCTTTCCAAGAAGAGTTTTCAAAAAAAAAAAATCTAGTTCTCTAGAAGAAATCGTATAGCAATTAAGGCACTTGCCCCAGGTTGGAATCTCCAGCACCGTATGTAGGTCCCCCAAGAACCTCCAGGGAATGGGGTCATCCCTGAGCACCTCTGGGTGTGACCCAAGACCCAAAGAAAACTAAATTTTTTTAAACAAAAATCCTAGTTCTCTAAAATCACTGACATTCTGATAAGCCTTAGAGATTGGCAGCATATTCCACGGCACGGGTGGAGATTTCTGTGGGCTGGAGCCATTTGTCCAGGAGGGCCGAGGCTGCTGGTCACCTGTTTATTCTCCCTAGAGGCCATCTCGGCAGCTAAACTCCCTGAGGCTGGACAGCCATGCGGTCACCTATAGCTCAGCCTGCGGCACAAAGGTGTTGCTACGACAACCTTATTGCTCAGATCCTAGGGGTGGGGGTGTCTAGGACCCAGTGTCCTCCTCTCAGCTGACTGTGTGGCAGGACTGTGCTCGCAGGGTCCAGAACAGCCTCCGCCCAGCAGCACCAGGTAGACCCCACAGACTCCCACCAATTCCTGGGACAGGGGCTTCATTTACTCTGGGTATCTGTGTCTCCATCACACGGACAGTCTTTGGAATTACTCCTTGGACCCTAAGCTTTGTTTTACACATCATTCCTATGATTGCAAGTTCATGATTAAATTGCATGGTGCATGCAAATTCTCAACACGTGGTCGGATGGTGCTTTTCATCAGTCACGTCACCGAGTACTGTGCAGTTGTCTGGAATGAAGCATTACGAAGACTCTCATCTATTCCTGGGACATTGGGGATCATGAGATTGTGATAAAAGTGACTTCAGTGCACCATTGTCACTGGGATTGAGTCACGTGGCCTTTCCTTGTGGGAGTTTTGAAGACTTTCCCTGTTGTGGACCAGGGGCCCCGGGCAGGGCAGCAACCTGGCCCAGCTTTGTCCCTTGGATTCTGGAGCGAGCTGGAGAGGTGTGGTGCTTGGTTTCATGGGCACGGTGGGCCTGTGTTCCCTGGGCGCTCCTTTGGATGGATTTGGGTTCCCGCATCCACACAGCATGGACAGTGCAGCCTTCTGTGAGGCAGGTACTGCCCAGGCTCTGGGGAGCACGGCTGGGCCTTTGGGGGACCCTGACACTGCATAGCCCCACCCCAGTGGACGTGGCGTCCGGGTTGGGGACATGGTGGGACTTGGTGCAGAATCAGTTCTGCTTTGCCAGAACTGATTCCAGCCCCAGCCACCTTGCCATACTGCCCCCCTGCTCCAGGCACTGCCCTCCTGAGAAGCACCCCGGGAGGAGCACTGCTCAGATGTCCAAGGTCCCGGGTGTGGTCCTGGCCCCTGAGCCCCCTCAGGTGGTCTCTGAGAGCACATGCCGGCAGGTGGTCCTTCAAAGAGCGATAGTGATCAGGTGTGCCATTTGCAGGATTCTGCACTTAGGACTCAAGGCCCAGTGCTCAGGGCTCAGGGCTTAGAGCTCAGGGCTCAGGACTCACGAATCAGGGCTCAGGACTCAGTGCTCAGGTGCTCCATAAGCCTGGTCCTTAGATCCAGGCCCGTCTGTCCATCTGCCACTTTCCCTGATGCTTACCTGGATGAGATCTCCTCTGACTTCTGACTTCATTCATTTCATCAGGTGGTTTCCGGGAAACCATCTGTTTCTGGGTGCCCATTTCTTTGAGAAAAAGGCTGCCCATGGGAGACACCAGGGCTGAGCAGCCAACACTGGTGTTCTGTGGGTCTGGGGCACCGTTTAACGGAGTCGAGGTCTTTGCCTGATTGACTCTGACCCCCGCCTAGGCCCCCCTAATGGTGTGCCCTGACCGGCCCTGGGCACAGGGACCCCTGCTAGTGGATGACGGTGCAGTCCTGGGGGCGTAAAAGCTGCCCCCACCCCATCCCCGCTGACCCTGCCCCCCGTCTCACCCACAGAGTATGAGTTGGTGAGCCCCTACGAGGTGGACCCCGCAGGGGCCTATGTGTCCCACGAGGTGGCCCACCCTCAGCGGAGGAGGAGGATGCTGGCTCCGTACGGACCGGACGCACTCCACCTGCGACTCTCGGGCTTCCAGCGGGACTTCCACCTGGACCTGAGGGCGGCCAGCGGCCTGGTGGCCCCAGGGCTACGGGTGCAGACGCTGGGCCCCGGGGGCCGACGCTCCGTCCGGGCCTTCCCGCCTGACCAGCTCTGCTTCTACCAGGGCTCCCTGCGGGCCCACAGCAACTCCACTGTGGCCCTGTCCACCTGCACCGGGCTGGTGAGTCCGGCACCCAGGGCGGGTGGCTGGGAATTCTGCCCTGGGTCTGCGCCGCCTCGGGCAGCCACGGGGCCTTGGTGCATGGGAGCTGGGGACAGGGATGAAACAGGGGCGGCACTGTGCAGAGGACAAGGCCATGAGCACCCTTGGTATGAGCAGAAGCACTTCCATCCCAGGGGGCTGTGACCCAGATCACATCTGTGCCGTGCCTCCCGGTTACTAGTGGGATGTCCCACTGTGGACAGGACATCAAAGAACTGTCCCTATTTAGGCAAAACAATGGAAACTGTCCCTTTTGTAGACAGAACCATAGAGAACTGTCCCCTTTGTGGACAGAACCACGGAGAACTGTCCCATATATGAACACCTCCATGGAGAACTATCCCACATATGGACAGATCCACAGAGAACTGTCCCTTCTGTGGACAGAAGCACCCTCCCTGACCAACGTTGTGGTTCCCAAGGTCTGACACTTGGAAGCCTGGTGGTCTCTCTGCCCATCTGGGGCTCGGCGGCTCTGACGGCCTCACAGAGGGAGCCTGGTCACTCCCACCCTAACTGACGCAAACATTAGGTGCGCTGAGAGACAGCTGGGCATCCCATTCATTGTGTGTGCAAGTGAGTCCCTGGCTACCCTGAGAATAACTCAGCTTTCACACTAACCTGGACTGAAATCTTAGTAGCTGTGGTTTGCTTTTAGTTTTCTTTAAAAAAAAAAATGTCTGGGCCACACCCAGCGGTGCTCAGGGCGTTGTCCCACTGTGTGCTCATGACCAACCCTGGTGGTCCTCTCTTACACCATGCTGTGTCCCTGAGGGGCACTCAGCTCTGTACCAGGGGTTTTTCCTGGCTCTGTGCTCAGGAATCACTCTTGACAGTGCTCAGAGGACAATATGTAGTGCTGGAGATTAAACCAGGTGTGACCCCACCCAAAGCAAGCACTGTCTCTCTGACCTTTTAACACATTTTTTAAAAAGGCAAAATTAACCTGTGTGGGTCCCTGGAAAATAGTGCAGGAGCTCTGGGAGGGGGCCCAGAGGGGCTAGGGCTGGGCAACTCCATGAAAGAGATGAAACCAGCACAGATATGGGCTGCTGGGAACTCTGGGTCCCTAATCCTACATGGGAGGAGGGTGGCAGGAGATCCTGGCTTTTGGCTGAATTACTGTCCACCAGCATCTTTACTAGACAACCCAGGGGTGATACCCCAAAGTACAGAGCAGCTCGGGACTCGTTCATGGAATTCTTGATTGCATCAACTGTGAAGGGATGAATAATCAAATAATAAACCCAAGTCTAGGGGCCAGAGAATGGGAGATATAATGCTAGCCTCACATGTGGTGAACCCGGATTCAATCCCTGGCACTGTGTGAGATCCCCCAAGCCCTGCTGGGAGTGATCCCTGAACGCAGAGCCAGGAGCAAGCCTTGAGCAAGGAGCAAGCAAGTGTGGTCCCAACCTCATGGGAAGGGGGGCTTTGTGGGCCGTCCCCCACGCCCCACCGAGGTCGCCAGCTGCCCCCCACGAGCGGCTCTCCGGCACGGCCACGACTCCAGGGCACACAAACCAATCTCTTAACTAGCTAACTTTTAATAGAAATTCTTCCAGGGTCAATAAGTAAAATAGCAGAAATTCAAAACCGCGCGGCCGCGATAGCGGCCGCGCGACATCATTTTATTCTTAAACCAAGTTGTAGAAAGCAAATCATTTCACAACGCTGTTTCAGCATGTCTGATTGTGGGGGGTGGGTCGTAAACTCTAAACAATAATTGTGCATCTTCTATCGAAATAATCTATCTAGTCAAAGTAGATAGAGTATTAACTAGAACTCATCTGCCTCACAAGAATTGGGAGGGGTGGGAGGTGGGGGTCTATTGGGGTTCGGGGTTAAAAATGAGTATTGGTAAAGGGAAATATGTTTGGTATCTACATGACTGAGACCTAAACCCGAAAGCTCTGTAACTTTTCCCACAGTGATCCAATAAATAAATAAATTATAAAAAAAAAAAGTGTGGTCCCAAATAAAAGTAAACAAGAAAGAAAGCCAGTTCTGTCACTGTCACTGTCCTTCCGTTGTTCATCGATTTGCTCGAGCAGGCCCAGAAACGTCTCTACTGTGAGACTTTGTTGTTACTGTGTTTGGCATATCGAATACCTCACAGGTAGCTTGCCAGGCTTTGCTGTGGGGTGAGGTACTCTCAGTAGCTTGCCGGGCTCTCCCAGAGGGGCGGAGGAATCGAACTCAGGTCAGCCATGCTGGCCGCTTGCAAGGCAAACGCCCTACCCGCTGTGCTATCGCTCCAGCCCAAAGCCAGTTCTAATCAACTAAATTAGTGCTGCAGGCTCTAAAGTGACGTCGAAAGCCGTTCTGATATTGCCACTAAGTGCTGTGACTGAGGATATCTCGGATTTTGCTACGGCTATTTAAGATGGTGCTGCTTTATGCTTTTGTGTCACCAGATTGGTGTCATCAGTCTGCTGGGATCATCCCCCAATCCCATCCATGCTCCCACGCATTGGGTGCTCCCAAGGCTCAGTCCAGACCAGGTAGAATGATTGACAGGGAGACTGATGAGTGAAGGAAAAATGACCCCAATGACAACAGCAGAAGAAACAGTGTGACAGGCCCTGGGAATGGAGGGTGGAGGGGGGCACTCTTGGTCTTCTCTGCTTTTACTTCTTGGTTTGAAACATCTACCTTACAAATGAACAGCGGGGGATATTCAGGGTTCCATCATTCTCAGCCACTGAGTCTTGAGTAGAGCTTTCACCCCCAAAGCAGGGGATGCTTCAAGAAAGGCAAGAATTTCCCATGTTTCTGCTTTCCTGGATTAAGTCTCCTGCAAAATAAAGCTAAGTTCATGAGAAATGCTGGTTTCTTGTGCCATCCCATGTAGAAATTCAGTCTCTGACAGGAGTTGGTGGGCTGGTGACCCCATGTCTTCTTGGCTGTAAAGGCCCAGGAGCTCTGTAAGGATGACAGGGCCAGCATAAGTTATGACGTCATGGCTCAAACGGCACCAGATTGCAACATTCTTTCTGGGCTTTATCAAAATCTATTCAATTGATATGTTTCTACTTTTAAGAATCTCATCACAAGTCATAGAGACTTTAAATGGTTTGGACATCTAGTACTTGTGTGTGTTGGGAAGGGTGGGGGGTCCTTTCTAGCAGTCGAATGGTGGCTTCCTTGAAGAGGGGCTGACTCCTCACTCCTCCATGCTGAAGTCTGTCTTTGCCAGGGCTGTTGTTTGCACATTTCACTGGATGTTGGCCAGGCTCACAAATGATTTCCCAGATGATTTCCAAAAGGATTAGACCTTAACAGCATTAACCCGGGTGAGAGAGAGTATGGGGTATTAAGACACCAGCTGGCAAGCCCCCGTCCGGAGTCAGTTCCTGGCCCCAAAGCTCTCCTAAGAGTGACTGATGCAGCCCCGGACGCATCCGCATTGCCAGGGTGGCCGTGTCATCCCAGCACCAGAGGACCCTAGAAAGTCCCACCCAAGGGCCGTGACACAGAACCACAAATCTGGCCTCCAAGAAGCCCCTCCGGAGAGTCATGAAGTGTGGGTGTCTGGTCCCCCCAAACTCAGCTGTCGTCAGTGAATTGGGCTGAGGCCAGACCATTAGAACATAAGCAGTTGAGCTTCAAGACCAGCAACTGCAACCACAGTGCCTGGACCGTGAGACTGGGAAGGTCACTGTGTCACCAGTCCTCCTTGTAACACCATTCTGTTTCTAGTGCAAGGCTGAGTGCTTGTAACACTGTCCTTGTAACATTGTCCTTGTCACATTGTCCTTTAACACTGTCCTTGTAACATTGACTTTGTAACACTATTCTTGTAACACTGTCCTTGTCATGTTGTTCTTGTAACACTGTCTTTGTCACATTGTCCTTGTAACACTGTCCTTGTAACATTTTTCTTGTAACACTGTCCTTGTAACATTGTCCTTGTAACACTATACTTGTAACATTGTCCTTGTAACACTATCCTTCTGTTTCCAGTGTGAGGCCAACTCCTGGCAGGGAGTGCTCTGCAGGCAAAGTCTTCCCACTCAGACTGTACCAGGGCTTCAGTCAGAAGCACCTTGATCCAGGGCTGGGGACACGGGCCCTGGGGCCGGGGGAGGGGGGAGGGCACCCTTGAGGTCAGCTTTTCTTGTCTGCTCTCTTACGCCTCCTGCTGGCCCGGGCGCTCCCGAGCACCACAACATCTGAGCATCCCACTAGCCTGGCCACCAAGAATTGCCAGGAAGGGCCCAGGACCTTCTAAATATGTTCCTGTGTATTGGTTCTTTCCATTATGATCTTTCATTGGTTGGTCTCTATACCAGGCTGTGAGCACACTGAAAGACTTTTGTTTTATTTGAACCCCCAGATCACTATTAACACTAGGGAAACCTTTTTTCTTACAATGAGTAGTTGTATTTCAGATTTATAAACAAAAATACTGTTAATTCTCAACCTACGCTTTGAAGTTGAATAAACATACATTTTATTTTATAATTCATACCATCTAATTTTATGCTATATTTTCTGTGAAGTGAATAGCTTATTTAGGGTTCCTGATGGTTATCTTTTTAATTCCCTTTAGTCAATACTTTTATTTTGGGGGGCGGAGGGAGGTTGGGTGACACCCTGCATTGCTAAGAGCTCAACTTCTGACTCTGTGCTCAGAGATCACTCCTGGTGATCACTCCTGGTGGGGTCAGGAACCATTTGAGGAGCTCAGGGGACCGAATCCAGTTCTACATTATATAAGGCAAATATTCTCTCTACTGTACTATCCCTCCAACTACTAGCCTGGACTTTAAATGAGGTTCCCTTAAACATGTTTTCTATTGCATATAAAAGATTTTATTTTCCTAAAGAATTGTGTGTAAGTTATATGCTTGAATTAGCCCTTTGTCCAGAGACGGAGAGAGATGGAGAGAGACAGGGAGCAGGAAAGAGTGAACAAAACTATAAATGAACTTTAGCTTCTGGCATATAAAATG